TTCTTTGTTTTTTTCTTTCTTTCTTTCTTTCATTCTTTCTTTCTTTCTTTCCTCCTCCAGCCTGGGGCTCGAATATTTTGCTTTTATTTGATCCCTGCTCGGGAGGCCAGAAATACTGTGTTTTACTATAAAATCCAGGGTGTTGTTTTTTTGTTGATCCTTTCTTGTTTTTTTGTTGATCCTTATGTGTTTTTTTGATCCTTATTTGTTTTTTTTGACCCCCCTCCCGAATGTGAAGGCGGGACACGGAAAGCATTCTGAAATTAGAAAGGCAGGTCTTCCCAACCCAACAGAATAAGGAACCTGACGGCAGCGTCGACACGGTCTGCAGCAACCCAAGCTTCCCATCCTGAGCAGAGGAAAGTGGCTCGCATTTGGGGAGGGTTCTAGCCTCTGATGACAACAACATCTGGGGCAATGCTCAGCGAAGGGTGACCTGGGAACCACATGCACATGGTAGATCCTGTTCATCAGGAAGAAATGGAAAAACCCCAAAGACCTTCCGAATCGGCAAAGCTGCCTCGCGATCATAGCTGTACACGTTGATGGTGCAGTCGAGCTCATTAATGCCATACCTCCGTCTGAGCTGAGACTCCTCTCATCCCAGCACATCCCAGCACTATTTCATGCAAACATTCCGCAACTCGCCAGCTTCACAGCTGCCAGGCTGCACCACCTGCCCACTTGGGTGGAAACCTCGACTCTGAAGGAAAGCGGGATACAAGATGTTGCATGAAAACAGCGCCTTCTTCACCCATGGAGGGTTTGCCGAGGCAAGATCCAAAGGCCCAAGACCCAGAACACCAGTAAACCCAAACTCCCTTTGTCTTTGTCTGCAGCGTGGCAGCAAAGGTGTCGCGGCCCAGCACCTGGTGATGTGGCAGCAGTCTGACGAGCTTCAAGGCGACCACGCTGCGCGTCCACGGCATAGGTCTGGGCTCAGCTACTTAATCTACTTGTTGAGGTGAGCCTTCAGCGGCCATGGCTTGAGGTGCAAGCCTTTTTGCTTTGGGTCTTTGGGAAGTTGAACATGTGCTGAAGTGCCCACACACTCATTGAGACGTAAATCCCAACTTGCAGAGGAAACGCCTGAACTCACAACTATCTCTCGCTGACGCCAACCGCCACACTTGCCAAATGATTTGTTCTTGGTGTTCAAAAAGGAAGCGGTGCTTCAAAACATGAAATCTATAGGGGAGCTACCGAAGTACATCTTCACTCCTTGTGAGCGCAGAAGAAGTGATCTGAGAAAGTGGAGGATTAGTGGAATCAGGAGGTACAAGTTGCGGAGCTTGCGTCTGTGCTTGAAGCGTTGGGATGCTTTGCATTCACACCATTTGCGTCGCGCAGCAAAGGGCCACTCAGTTTCACGTGTGCCGTTTGACATATTGCTGATCGCTTCATAGACCCATGGCTTTGCTCCACCGCTGGCAGACATTCACAGCATAGAGGAGAGAATTTCTGAAATCCTACGTTTGACACGGTTCGATGTCCCCAAGAAAACGTACAGCGCGGTGGGAGAACCCATGAGGCCACCTTTGAGCCGAGGGTTTAGGGGTACTATCTCTGTGGCACATCAACACATGGTGCCGGAGGCCGAAGCCTCGTGGCGTTGGCTTGGGGCTTGGTGCAGTTTTTCCATTTTCCTGTTGAGGAGGCTCAGGGGAGGAAGGCCTGTCTTGGGAGATTGCTTGCGCTCTGCAAATGTTGACACTTGTCTGGATGCGCAACCCAAGCGACCGATCCCCCGGACTGAGTCTGAACGCCATATGCGGGCAAGGCTTCAAGCGCCCGAGGCTTGCAAAATGCCTGATGCGCAGTGCGCCACGCCAACCATGATACTGATTGTTTTTCATTCCACTAGCTTCAGGAAGCGGGGGTATGATGCAGGTCTCACAGTGGCAAAGGGCCAGCAACTGCCACTGACATGCATGCGGACCACCCGCATTGCCAATGTATCAAACGTGCCGAGGCATCGCTGCAAACAGTTAGCTGCACAGTTGGCTGAGATGTAATCCCTTTAAGCCCTGTGTTTTAAGCGTGTTAAGAATTACGGCTCAGGCTTCAGATAGATTCCTATGTCATATATGTCCTCATCTGGCACCAAGGAAATTCATCACGACATTATCAGAGCATTTCGCTCGGAAACCGCTTCAGAAGCCTAGGAACCTGAGCCCAACATGCTGCTGAGAAACATAGATCTTGTCTTGGCCTGGAGTTTTCTACCCATCAATCTGCGCAACAGCTTCCCAAGCTACCAAGACAGCGGAGTACTCTGTCAGTAGTGTCGAGTAACACTGGAAAGCATGCTATTCGAGACTAGAGGCCCAGGTCGGAGACCAGTGCAAACCTTCCCTGAGGATCCATAAAGCAGGAGTGCGGGTGTGCCTTTCAGGGCCAGCTAAGCCAAAACCAGTGGCAAGAGCGGATGCCACAGATCCAGCCTGCTCCTGCTCGTTGCCCTCAGCGGGCTGGTAAACATTGCTGCCCCCATAATGTTGGATCGAAGCACCCGGCTCCACCTTCGAGGGCACACCTGTCCTGCTCTGCCTTTACATGCGTGCGCCAGGGTGTAGACGACTCTGTGACAGTACAAGTTAGCACCACATACCAACATAGCCAACACAAGAAGGCCGGCTGCAAGCCCTGAAGGTGGGTCTGGTGACTGGTGCTGGTGCAGTTCTGTAAATGGCTAGCATGCACGGGACGTCACGTAAAGACCCGACTACAACAGGCTCGTAGTTTCGCCTATGCCTTCTTTCTCAGATTCCTTGGGCCTCGGCCAAGCTGCCATCCTCGCGAACTTTGATCACGTTCAGCCCCCCGCCGCCGTAGGCGGAGGTGACAACCTTTACGCTCCCGTCAAGGTACACAACATGATGCTGGGATACATTGTGGCGCAAAATCAGAACTCCGGAGAGCGGGCAGAAGGGAACTTCTTTGCTCTGGCAGCCTGGATATGAAGCTACTAGCTGCTACTAGCTCTTGCACCCGCAAACATCCGCAAACTGTGAAGACCCAGCACGACAGAACCTGCACATGCACGGGGGTTTTGAAGACAGGGCTGAGTTGCTGACGATACCCTCGGGGCCGCCGTAGGCCACGGAGACATGGGCCGCACCTTTCAAGAGCAGATGCAGTGTTACGGACATCTTGCCTTGCATAAATGGACCAATGCTGGATTCACGCTTCCATCATACGGCGATCAAACAGGCAGTTGTCCCGTAGCTTATTGCGTTGCCGCGTTTTCAAAGAAGTCAACACCCACAGCACTGGCTAGGTCTGCCCAACAAGAGCTGTTGGGGCCGTATGGCTGACGAGTGTCCAAAAAACAAGGAAAACGGCATAACATGCTTTCGATTCGGGTTGCCTGAGATGTCGCACTTCACCTTTGTCTGCAGTCAGAAATCTTTGCCGACCGGCGCCCCACTAACTTCAAGTTCTGACTATGCAAGCCCTTGCCGTCAGGTAGGCTTTGTAGCCGGGCTTGCAGGTGTGCAGCTCAGTGGCAGTGTTCAAGTGCGACAATCCTCCTGTGGCCGGGTCCACGCGGAAGGCCTCAAGCAACAGATTGTCCTTGTACTGACGTTTCCCACCCTTGCTCCAGGCAAGTCCAGACACTCTGGCTGCAAATAGTAAAGCCTTCCTTTTCTATCCTTGTCTGCTAACACAGGATCAGGCTGAACAGCCAAAGCGCAGCTGCTCCTGGCTTTGCGATGGAATATAACACCTTGGGGTACAGGCTGCATGGCATGTCATGGCTCGATGCCGAAGCAGCAAAGCACTTCACATGATGGCTAGGAGCGTTGTTCGTGAAGCCCGCCGCATGCCCGAGAGCCAAGAAGCTGCCTCTATGAGACGCCGGCTATGGCTACAAATCCCGGACGCATTGCCCATGGCCCAAGTCATCGGCCTGCCCCATCCACCTCGATAGGCGGTGCCTTTGCCTCTAATGCCCCTGTCCTTGGCTGCGTCAAAGCTTTGAGACTTTGGCTTTAAGCGTTCATGCTCCTGGCCGCTTAGAACTACAGGCAGGTCAAAATACTTGATCCCAAAGATGCCCCGAAGGTCTTCATCACTGGGATGGATTGTGTGAATAGGCGATGCACACTCAGGGCTCCCTTCACGCTTGCTCTCCTCTGCACAAGTGTGCGACAAGGAGGGCACAGAACTTAAAGGGGCCTCATGCAATTTTGCCGCAAGAGTACCTTCAGCCAGTGTCTGTGAGGGGCTCAACGGAGCCACCGCTTGTCCGGCATGCGGCAATGGGTTGAAAGGTTTGTTCGGAGTCATCCACGGCACAGAGGCTTGAAGCATGGTAAGCTATTTGCCGCATGCCAGAGGCATTGCAAGGCTTGCTACGGAGACTAGTTCTGGATAGCGGAGACTTTCCATGATTTCATGAAATGGACCACAGCAGTGCTTTCGGGGTGATTTTTCATCCTATCCTTGGGATACTTGGGATCACACTCTGGCTTCGAGCATGGCAAAATCAAGTCTACCGGGGTCCTTAAATAGCAGGATCTGTGTCAGCTGCTGTGAGACTGGCCACAGCATGCAGAAGTCAGGCAAGCAGCACTGTGCCATCAAGGCCAGGATGCGCAGAACTGTGATAGTTACAAGACTGTCTGCATGCTGTCCTGCAAAATACTCTTGCACAACAACGCGCATGGGAGCACTTGGTGGCTCCCTGGATCTTGGCAGCTCTAAGAGCTGTGGCTTTGGCGCGTGGTGGCAATTGAAAGTCCCGAGATCTGGTTTGCCAGGGTTGCGCAAGGTGCTTGCTGCGCAAACGGCTGTGCGCAGCACAGCCTACATCTTGAGGAACCCAGCATCAGGAACTGAGCGGGCAAACAGTGGCAGTAGAATGACGTCTTGTATGCATCTGTATGCAGGAGGCCTGTCTCTGATGCACCAAACAAAGGGAGTTCAAACCTGGATTTGAGGTCGGCTGGACTGCCACTTCAATGGCACAAACTTACACGGGCCGCACAACCCTGCTCCACGTCGAATTAAATGCAAAGCTGATTTCTGGTTTTCGGGCTCTGGCTAGTTGCCCGTCATCCTGATCTCACTTCAGTTATCCAATTCGATGATAGTGGTGTCTAATGAGAAACAATTGGAAGAAGCGATTCAGAACTCTGAAGATCTTTGGGATGACTGCTTTGGGTCGAGCGCAAGGCTGCAAGGCTATGCCGCTGCCAGCAGAGTTTACTGGCATCTGAAAAGAGCAGCACACCGCGCCAGAACGCACGACCAGCTGTTTTCGGGGGCGGCTCAATGTATGTGGGGCAGCCCTCAGCATCAGCAAATCACATCGGTCTGGCATCCTGCTGGTTGCTGCCGGGCGCGGCTTTACAATCCCGGCAGCATCTTGGCCTGTTCCCGAGAGGCAGCTCTCAAGATCTGGCCCAAAGAGGCAGGATGTGAGGCTCCAAAAAAAAAAACAGACGCTAAACGTACTTGAAAAGTGAGGCTTCCAACTGCTGGTGCTACCCCGCGCTCAGATGACCAAACACTTAGGTCAGCAGCTCTAGGTTGAAATACCACGCTGCCTCTTGGTCAACGTTCGGATAACTGCCAAACCTGAAATGTCGCTCCAACTTCACGCTGAAGTGGCAATAACTGTCCTATAGGTTGGAAGTTCATGTTCCAATCTACAAATAGCATTCTGCGGCTGCGGCATACACTGGTATGACGCACGTGGTGTCCTACATTCCTTCGCCATCGCAGAATCCACTGCACAACTCAGCTTTCCGTAAGTAACCCATTCGCCAACTTATCGCATCTTGGAGCGGCATTCTGGTGTTGCTGTCAGTGCTCACTTGTTCACGGAGGAAAACATGCCTCTGACAGGCGTTGATTTTGAGAGCAGACCCTCAAACCGACTTATAAGCAGGCCCTGCAAGTGATTGCAAGTGTACCATTTGAGGGAACTGACTTGGAGCAACGATACAGCATTCACAAAAGGGTTCCGAGGGAAGCCTGTGAAGAGCTTGCGAGCATCATGGCATACCAAAGACGTTTCGCCCTCTGGAAGACCTAGTGTGCATCCGTCAGCTGCAACCTAAGACCAGCCAGACAGAAAGCTGCCCCCTCAAGCGCCACTCCAAGACTCAAATTTGCAAGACACAAATATCAACCTAATCATTTTGCCAACCGGGCCTCGCAAGCCTTTGCGTGGTGCGGACTCAGCGTTGGAGTTCGGATGCCTGAGATCCATCCATGCTCAAGATTGAATAGGATGCAAACAATACAAGTCAGGACCAGGTGCTAATGTTTACGCTCCTTGCCCATGGACTTCTGGAAGATAGCTACAACCAATGTGGGTGTTGTCCAAAATAAATTCATGACATAATGACCTCTTAGCGAAAGTCTAAGTTCCTTTTGCAAACACCATCTCGAACTTTGGCAGAAGTATGCTTGAAGCAGAAACCAAGGCCTGCACGCTTAAAATAGTCTTTACCAAGCGAGGACTCTCCACCTCGTGGACTGTTTTTGGTGTCGTTTGGGGTACCTACACAAGCGACTCCCGCATCCTGGGGGTATACAGAGGAGGCCTAATCTTAAGAAGCGATTGCAAAGGGGCGTGCTCGGCTTGCGCGATCTTTCGTGTTTGTCCAAGGCAGAAACACCACCAATCAACGCATGGAATCTGGAAAGTAGTGCGTGCGGTTGAAGACGGGCAGGGCCAGGCTTTGCAAAGTGGCTGCGCTTGGAAAAGTCCTTTGACCGCATGCACGGAACCATAGCTTATGATACTTCTTTCACGAATTCCAAAGTTCTTCCTTTCACGAACGCCATCGCGAACTTTCGCGGAGGACTTCTAGATAGTTCAGGGTGGTCTTATATACAAAACGAGGTTTTCGGACAACACCCGTGTGCTTGGGAACTTCCATGATCTGGTGACAAGGGGCAGTGGCATTCCTGTGATCGCATGCGTCTTGCGCTGGGGCGACTCTGGCAAGGGCATGCCTGAACAGGAGATGCAGCTTCAGGTTCAGGCTTTGCATGGCGAGGCTTGGCATGAAATCAATTGCTTCACTCCCGGCTAGCTTAGGCCCGGGCCGGTGATGGAGTATTGCATCCTGCGACCGTTGCTACCCTTGCTGCCCTTGCTGCTGGTCGAGGCTTTGCTTTCGTTGGTGCCGGATGTGCCGGTGGTCTCCTTGCTTCCGCTGCCACGCCTTTCAGCTGGCAGCACATGTGTAAAGCGGATTTGGGAGCGCAATATCTAATTTGTGTTCTTTCAGACATGGTGTTGTGACTGGAAAGTGTGTTGAGGGCAGAGCTTAAAATACCATAACGGTAAGGAAAGACCAAGGCCTGCCAGCAACCGTTTGCGAGGCATTGCGAGTCTCTTCGTTCTCGTACCTGACAGCACCAAGCCAGAGGGACTAAGCCCCGATGCCCATCCAAACATCCAAATCCAAGCTGCAGAGGCATTCCGGTGATGGAGTAGGTGACCTTCTTGCTTCGCACGGGCGAGTCCGGAAGCTGCATGCCTGGACTTGAAGGCAGGTCTCACAGGTGCCAGCTGCTAGCCCGGTGTCTACGAGGATTCAAGGATATGCGAAGCTGAAGTGGCATCCTCCTCGCCAAGACCTGTCACATACCTGTCATTGCCACACAACTTGTGTCCGGGGCGCCTGTCAGAGAGTAATGCACGCGTGAGTCGCGGCTGCCGGTTGTGCCGTTTGACCCTTGGCAGTGTCACAGGTCGGACAAGCTCAACCACATGCGGCAATGCGGCTTGAAAGAAGGTTACGAAGGAAAGCCCAAAGGAGTGATAGAACCCCAATAGTGAAGGATTGGAAGTGCACTCACCACAAGGAATTGAGATGTTCGTCACGTGGCACCAGGGTCCGAAAAGGGCATCGGGCTGTGGGTTTGGACTTTGGGTTTCAGAGACAAGGGCTCGGCCTTTGGAGATCTTGCGCTCGTTGCGGGGACGTGGAGGAGCCTGCTGAGCCGAGGCAAGCGATCTTAACAGTGGGCATGCGGTACAAGCGACAGGTAACGGAGGGTCACTGCAATTTTGCCGCCGACACGGCCAACTGGCTCTCAGCACGCAGTCTGCGTTCACGTTGAGCACTTCTCGCACATACATAGACGTGTAGCGGGCCCCAGTACATCCCAGGATTGCATGTGGAAGGAACCTTGTCCACTGCCAAAACCCACAGACAAATCAAACTGTGGTGTGAATGTCTTGCTTGGGGCTTCACACGCCTCTGCGCGGGTCAGAAGCTGCGGCAATGCCTGGCCTTCATCGCAGAACGACATGAGCTGTTTGGCAGCGACAGGGGATCAGACAACATGGCTTTTGCGACGCTTAAGTAGGAAGTAGGGCCAAGTAAGGCCATTTGGCATTCTCACAGTCGCAACGAAGCCAACGAGGCCAAATGCAGTCACAGCTTAAGGTCCGCTTGAGGTCGCCTGCGGTGGGAACTTCCGGCACTGGTGATCCACCTGGGATTCACAGCACAACCAACTAAGGAGAGGCTTAAAAGTCTGCGCATTGGTTTGTAGCACGAAGGGCTTCATCTAGCTACGTGGCAAATCCATCTTCGAAAGGTTCACAGCATCTGGAGGAGGGACCAAAGACGTCGAGGGTATGGATTTTGCACGCTTTCTCCTCCAGTTTTTCAAGCTGCAACTTCTTGAGGCCGAGCCACCCTGGGCCCAGCCGAAGCATCCCTGGAAGCACGACATGGCTGCGTGGAGGTAGATGAAGGAAAGCACCCCAGAGCTTCAAAATAGTTTGAGCCGAATCAGCTGGAGGGAGGGTGGGAAGCGGGGAATGCCCGCTCTGAAGAAATCCTCGAGTCGAGCAGTGATGAACATCAGATTGACCAGATGAGTCTCGCAGAATCAAAGTCGAATGCTTGGATCAGCGTCTTGCCAGCAAAATACACAGGCGCCATGGCAGGGCTGAGAGAAACCGGATGCTATGCTGCGCTTTC